TATATTCTCTCCCTTCTTTCCTGATGCTTATATCAATGAGTCGGGATGAGAATTACAAGAAGCTGGTCCAATGAAGGGGAATTTTCTCCCAGGTAGAATGGTTGTATTCAGGAAAGTGGCTGCTGGGTGAAAATGGTGTCTCCTGAAGGAATTGTGGACCCATTATCAAGGTATGGGTGACTTAAAGTAGTAAATACATTCTCGAGACATAACTTGTTTTGTTTGCTGCTTTCTATCTACAATCTTAGAACAATAGTTGACAGGCCATTAGCACTCTAGTAATATTTATTGAATTAATTAATGTTATGATATGTTTACACAAAAACATAATGATACCTAAAAAGATAGTATACAGGCTATGCACAGTGGTGTACAGCTATAATTCCAGTGACTCAAGAATCTAGAGAAGAAGGTTCTCAAGATCAAGAACAGCCTGAGCAACTTAGGGAAACTGTGTCTCAAAATAAAAAATAAAAAAGAGCCAGGCATGGTGGGGCATGCCTGTAATCCCAGTGACTCTAGAGGCTGAGGCAGGAGGATTGCAAGTTCAAGGCCAGCCTTAGTAACTTAGTGAGGCTCTAATAAACTTAGTGAGAGCCTGTCTCAAAATAAAAAATAAAAAGGGCTGGGGATGTGGATAAGTAGTTAAGCATCCCTGTGTTCAATTCCTGGTTCAATTCAGATCTTGTTTCAAAATCAAAAATAAGAAGGCCTAGGGATATGGATATAGCTCAGAGGTAGAGCATTTGCTTAGACCATGCAAGGACCTAGGTTATCCCCACTATCACAAAAAGAAAAAAAAACAGCATGTAGATTCTTCATTTCTGCTTTAAACTCACACATAATACTTCAGAAAAAGAACTAAAATTAAAACAAACTTTTAAGCACAAATTGGGTACTTTTATCACTATTATCATAAAATTTAAGTCACTAATTATTGGCTTTCCTTTCTACCCAGAAAAAGGTCTTATTCTTTCTCTCAGCTATTATCTCCCTCAGGCTCTTTACACAATCCAAGACCTATGCCTCTATATTTTATTCTCAGCGACTTCCTTGATTGAAATATGCTAATTACTTCCTTAAAGTCAGCTTTTCCTCATCCATGGCTCTCCATCCTGCCTCTTCTGCCAAGAGAGACACATGTTCAGTTTCTTCCAGGAAGGACCAGGCTAGTGGGTTTACTAAGAAAATCCAGCCTCAGACCCTGTGTCATCCTCTTCATATGGGAAGCACTCAGTGCTGTATTTCTGCAGCAGGGCTTCTTACTCATGTTTGTCATTCAGCTGCATTTTACTATCTGCCTCCATTATCTTGAAGAGACCTGACGCAGTTTTGTTCTCATCTATCATGTTAAACTGTCAAACTAAATGGAACAAATTTTATACAAATAATTATATAGCGGTTTCCCCCTGCCTCCTCCCTGCTAAAAGATTGAAGCTAAACTTAGAGTCCTAACCCATAGTAGAGCAGAAAGACTGTTAATTCAATATTTAGAGGTCACGTTCTTGTTAATCTATCCCAATGTTGCAAGAACAAATCAAAGCATACTCACGTATCTCCTTAGAGTTCATTCTGAGAATTGAATACTTATTAAATAAGTTAGTATTTGTTTCATAAATCATAAAGTACTAGATTAATGCTGGCTTTAATTGTGGCTATTCATCTGTCTTGCCTATCTTTCCCTGCTCATAAGCAGGAGGTTATTAGAATCATGTGAAACACCTGGATGTACTCTCTTGTGGACCAGAACATTCCCCTGGAACCAAAGCACAGATGCAGCTGCTCCAGTTGGCTCCCAGCTACATCTCCTTTCCAAGGAGGCTCTTCTCCAGCCTTCACAAGGGAGGGAAGCTATCCTGCTCTATAAAAAGCAGTGTGTCCATAGCAGCACACACAGAATAGGGACATCAGTCTTCTGTGAACACCCTGAGGTGGGGGAACCAAGGCTAGGGGAGTTCCACAGATCTTTCAGCTGTCAGAAGAATTTAGTCCAGGGATAAAGACATCCAGAAAAGAAGTTGACTCCAATCCTGAAGCAGGTCAGCCTCCTTCTCCACTGAATCTGAGTATCTAGAGTTTGTCTGGGCCAACAGTGTTCTCTGCGTACAGAGAGGTCCCTCTCTGACCCAACCTAAACCGATATGAGAGAGAGCTTACCGTATTTCTTTAATGGCTTATTTTTTCCAAGAGGTTCCAGTGGACGAGACCCATATTTGCCAACACAATTCTGGAAGCTCTAGGAAGAAAATCTATTCCCCCTCTCCAACCCTGTTCCCTCAGCCTTACCTTATTTTCATACCCCCAAAATAATGCTATAAATAACCATATTTAGCCCCTTAAGAATCACCTTAAGTTGAGCTAGGGTTATAGCTTAGTGGTAGAGCACTTGCCTAACATGCACAAAGCCCTGGATTCAATCTACAGCATCATTTTTAAAAATCACCTTTAGGAAACCAGCACAGATGGGCTATCAGAGGCTTTCCACCACCACCATCTCCTTGGTCCTCATTCCGCTTTCTGCACTTGTATAGATTAACTATATTATCTCTTTCTCATAAGATTCCCTCAAATATTTGAAAGCTTCTTTTGTATCCTTCCAATAGTTTTGTCTTTTCCAGATTACACATCACCACATTCACATTCTCCCCGTGCCCACTCCCCATTATCTTTTTTTTTTTTTTCGAGAAAGGGTCTCACTAAGTTGCTTAGGGCCTTGCTCTGTTGCTGAGGCTGCTTTCAAATTTGTGACCCTCCTGCCTCAGCCTCCTGAGTTGCTGGGATTACTGGCATAAGCACATCCACATTTTTTATATATTCCTCCTATTTTACTGTTTTCAAATCCTAATTGATGATAATCAACAAAACAAATCCAAATTATTTTTACATAAAATGGCTGTTAAATCAGCTCTTATCTTTCTTGTATATTTTTCAGCTAATCATTAGTGCTCACATGCAGATTTTTATATGTAACCCTGTTAACTTTTATCTTTTAAGTTTAGTGTTCCAAGGCAAGATTGTTTTGAATTATAATTCTGCCACCTATAACATTGATTTCCCCACTTAATTTCTTATCATCTGAAGTTTGAGGGGCCATGAATCTTTACTATGTCTATTGAAGTCACTGCTAAAACATGTGGAGATAAGATCTCCAGCACCTTCTCTTTATACCTTCTCTTTACAGCTTTTTCCAGGTTTTCAGAATCATTAATGAATAATTTTGGTATATGGTAGCAAAACTAAGAGTGTTACCTTTAAGCATACAGTCATTACCTTCTCTTTTTATTGAAATGAATATGTCCTTTTTCTACTCCTGGCTCTTGATGTTGTAATGCTCTCATTAAAGAACATGTGCAAGTTTCACATTATGATTAGCACTATAAAGCTCCTGGTGATCCCTGATGAGATTTCCAACAATCCTACAGAACATCTATTTAAGAATTTCACCAGGGATCAAGACTGAATTCACTAAATTGAATTCAAAGGTGATGATAACTTTTGATCATAAGCACTAGTTCAGAGTCCAGTCACTTGAGAAATTTGAGGTCAGTTGATCTCTGCTAAACCAAGTATCCAATTTCACTCTGAAATTTCTTCCTGGCTTTTTAAGAAGTCATTAGTATACAAAAGGCAAAATATGTCCAAACACGTATGAAAGCATTCTATCTCTGTACCATCATGTGATTGAATATGTGTCTGCATGATGTAGCCCAGAGGAAAAGGTAGGGCCAGGGCAGAAACAAAAGCCTTGTGTTTTTGCTGCCATCTGTGAATGTGGAATGGCATCTTTTTCAACTTTAAAAATGTAGAGACTTTGTATCCTGTTGGGCATTCTGGTTTCCTCCTCCTGTCATACACACACACACACACACACACATACACACACTCATACACACACACACACACCCCTCTTTGACTTCCACCTCTATTCTCAATCATAGTTCTATCTCAGGTTCTGAGTGGCAATAGTCAAATATTCCCTCATTTAGCAGAGGAATCATAGATCCCTTCTCTCTCTTGGTAGTCATTTATGCCCCTTTCTCTGGCACAAGGATTAGGTGTCACATGCTGCATTTTTCCATGACAATTTGGTGATGGAAAATTATTGTAACTAATTCCTTAGTCCATTTATTTATTCCTTCCTAAGTAATTATCAGGGTCCCCTGTGTGCTTGGTGGTAAGTTAGTACTGAAGAAACTAAAAGAAGAAAACCTGTACTAGGGTGGAAATTTCTAAAGAACTCAGAGTTAGCTGAGCTAAATTGAGCATTTTACCTGTATGGAGAATATAGGGCAGGAGAATCAAGAAAAATTAACAATCCTTAGCTTCTGAAAAACTGACCAGAGACTGGGAAATTTTTGAAAATAATTTTACAAAAGGTTACCAGGCCACTTATCTAAGAAGAAAGAATGGCTGCCCAAGGGGCTGGGATATGGGCTACTTCAGATATTTCTATATTGCATCTCCCACAGAGTAGATGATAAAGATTGCTTATCTGGATTTCCAGTCTGACTTTCTTGGAGAGGGAAAATAGAGACAAGTGGCTGCCTTAGGAATGCACATGACTTCAAAGTAGAACCATCTCCCTCCCTGGGTGCCACTCCCACCCTTCCAGAACAATTCACAGATGTGGTTCTCCTATTAGTGCTCAGTTAAGAGTGCTAGGTAACTAGCTGCCTATCAATGGGAGAGTACTATGATGCTAATTCTGATATTTTTATCACTCAGAAAAGGATTAGGGAAGCACTGTAGAACAGTATTTTGCACAGGAGCTTTGGAGTCAAGCCAACTTGGTTTCAAAGCATGGCTCCACCATAGTGACCGTGAATAATTAACTTAAACTCACTGGGCCTCAGTTTCTTTTCTATAAATAGGAAACAATAAGAATTGTCTCCAGTGCTTGTTGCAATGTACAAATGAATAAGCCAAGCATGGAGTGTGGCCATTATAGGATATTGGTCAATATTGGTTACCTTTCTCTCTACTTTTGGGCTCAGCTCTAGATGAAGAAGCAGTCCAGTGGTGACAGTGAGAACCAGACCACCTGGCTGATCCTAGTGGGATTTGGGGATCTGCAAAGCCTGGGCTTCCTTCCCTTCACCCTCTTTCTAGCCATCTATGTGGTGACAGTCGGGGGTAATACCCTCATCCTGCTGGCTGTGGCCTCCAGTCGGACACTCCACACACCCATGTACTTCTTCCTTTGCCACTTCTCCCTGCTGGAGATTGGCTATACCTCCAACATCACGCCTCAGCTGTTACAGAGTTTCCTGGAAGGGAGAGACTTCATCTCACTGGTTGACTGTCTTATTCAGTTCTACATGTTTGCCTCACTGGCTGCAGCTGAGTGCCTCCTGCTCTCTGCCATGTCCTATGACCGTTACTTGGCCATTTGCCACCCCCTTCACTACCCTGTCCTCATGAGCACCTGGTTTTGTAGCTGCCTTGCTGCTGGTTCTTGGCTCAGTGGCTTCTTCTTCTCTGCCTTCACTCTGGCCCTGGCAGCCCCCTTGTCCCTTTGTCCTGGCATCAGACAAATTGACCACTACTTTTGTGACTTCGCTCCAGTTGTAGGGTTATTCTGTGGGGATGTGGGAGTCATGTGGGAAGCTGGAGTCAGCATCTCAGGCTTCCTGACAGTGACCCCCTTCCTGCTGATAGTGACATCCTATGCCTTCATCTTGAGGGTTATGCTGCAAATACCTCCAGGCCCCAGGAGACAGAAAGCCTTCTCCACCTGCTCCTCCCACCTCAGTGTGGTTGGAGTGTTTTATGGCACCCTCATTGTGGTTTATGTGGCTCCAACAGACCACATGGCACCCTGGCTCCGAAAGGCCTTCACTATCCTCTACACTGTATTCACTCCCATGGTCAACCCCATCATCTACAGTCTCAAGAACCAAGAGGTAAAGGGTGCTCTTCGTCAGCTCTGGGGACAGCTGATCCTAGGGCATGCCTTACTGAGGGGGACAGGACAGTTATTTGCATTTTCCTCAACTTCAGCTTAGCCCCTTCCTCAAAGTTGGATGGACTAGAGACTATGGCAGTGGAAAGGTAGAGACTGTGGGACTAAACATAGTCCCACAACACAAGGTAACAATTTTCCCACTGCAATTTGGTAAGGATCAAAATCACATGCCTAGTAGGGGCCTGATCACCATAGACATTCCAAAACTATAAATTGAAAAAATGAGTGACTTAGTGCTGAAAAGAATGCAGGAGGGAACGGGGCAGTAATGCCAGGTGGGGAATATTTTCGGATTCTTAATTGAAGGTGGCAAGGACTAAGTAAGGGCATCGGCAAACAGGAAAAGGGGGGTTAGGAAGATGGTAATAAGAACAGAATTAAGGTAAGATCTCATGACACAATTCAAACAAAATCTCCAAAATGAAAAAAAAAAAAAAAAACTCTTAAGCCCAAAGTCTGTAGAATAGGTAGTGACAGGCTTAAAAGGGATGCCACTGCACAGACAGAGCTCTGCCATGGAAAAGCAAAGGTCAGTTAGAGGACAAGCAGGAGCTCAAGGCACTCATGCCTGGAGCCCAGGAGGCCAATTAGACCACTGCTCTGTGAATTTCCATTAGTTGTCTTGTCACTGATTTTGGACTAATAAGTAATAGAAGAAAGGAAGGAGGAAACTAAATGAGATAGGAAGAACAAATCAAACCCAATGAGAGGATTCTGAAATTTTGCTCTATCAGAGAATCTTTAAGGCATTAAAAGTGGGGGAAAAAAACTGTTCTGGAGGAGCGTGACTATAGTCTTAGCTACTTGGGGTGGAAAGGAATTTTTTTTTTTCATTTTGGTACCAGGGATTGAACTCAGGAGCACTCGACCACTGAGCCACATCCCCAGCCGTATTTTGCATTTTATTTAGAGACAGGCTCTTACTGAGTTGCTTAGCGCCTCGCCTTTTCTGAGGTTGGCTTTGAACTCGTGATCCTCCTGTCTCAGCCTCCTGAGCTTCTGGGTTTACAGGCATGTGCCACCACACCAGCAGTCTTAGCTACTTGGGAGGCTGAGGCAGGAAAATCATTTGAGTGCAAGGGTTTAGGGCCAGCTGAGCAGTATAGCAGTTCCTCTCTCTTCTCCTCTCCTCTCCTCTCCTCTCCTCTCCTCTCCTCTCCTCTCCTCTCCTCTCCTCTCCTCTCCTCTCCTCTCCTCTCCTCTCCTCTCCTCTCTCTCTCTCTCTCTCTCTCTCTCTCTCCCTCTCCCTCTATCTATCTCTATCCATCTATCTCTATCTCTATCTCTATTTCTATCTCTATCTCTCTTTCCTAATGCTGGGGATTGGACTCAGGGGTGCTTTACCACTGAGCTACATCCCCAGACATTTTTTTTAATTTTGAGCCAGAGTCTCTCTAAGTTGCCCAGATTGGCCTAGAATTTGTGATCCTTCTGCCTCAGTGTTCGGTGTGGGACACTTTGACCTGCACAACCCAGTTTCTTAAAAAAAAAGGAAAAAGTCTGCAGGTGTAGCTCAGTGGTAGAGTGCATGCTTAACACACACAAGTTCCTGGGTTCAATCTCCAGCACACAAAACAAACTTCTAATTTTTTCATTTGAACTTTATTGATGTGTTTCGTGGTATATGGTATATAATACATTGATATCAGAATGATGATGTTTACAAATAAATATTTCTGGGCAACCAGACCTATAGTATCTGGCTTTCTAGAAATTGGGCCCAGGGATCCATATTTAACAAATACCACAATTGATTATCTGTGCAGGGAAAAGGCATGGTTTTCAGAGGTAAGGGGGATGATAATAGGAAAAACGAGTGAGAAAAAAGAAATGCAGATGCTGAGGAATGTAAAAAGATATAATCCTGAGTAGTGGGAGTAAGACAGGTAGACTTACTGGAGAGGACAAGTGAGGAGATCTGAGGGCATGAGAGGATCAGGGATGAAAGCTGCTCTGTGTTGGTGGAGTGGTAATAGAGAGCAAGGGAAAAAGATGTTTGAATTCCTCTATCTCATTGCTTGGGAACTGGACAGGACCTAGACTATTTCTGAGTATTAAAAATATCTCCATGATGCTTATTCTTTGCATTAAAGTCAAAAATGAAATCCTGTGTGTGAGTGCCCTAGTGGGAGGACCAGGTTAGAGTGAACCAGGAACACAGTAAATCCCAGGACAAAGAGCACACCACCCTCCTCAGGATACTTCTCCCACACCAGGCCCACAGGTCTCTGTTCAGTTCATATATGAAGGGCATTGAAAACACAGCCCAAAAAGAACTAGGGACTACTCCAAGATGTATAGGAGGTACAGAATCCAAGAAGCTTGGGCCCCTAGGTCTTCACAGAGCACTTGGTTGCCTTCATGGTATTCTTTTGAAGTTTTGAAAAAGCTCCAAGTTTCACCTGCCCCACCACCTATCCCCAGCCATCCTTTGCTTATTCCTTAAGTTAGAAATTCCCATTTAAAGTCTCATCTTTTTAATCATTGGTCAAATGCTGCTGGTATCATGGTACAAGCAAAAGAAGCAGACCTATCTATGATTTGATCCCAGATACAAATTCTCATTAAAATGTACCCAGGAGACTGAGGTGTAGTTCTGTTGTGTACATAGCATGCAGGAGGCTCTGGGTTCAGTTCCTAGCACCAAAAAATAAAATAAAATGCATTCAAAAATACCAAATAAAATATAAATTCACACTTAGACACAAAGCAAAACTGTAGAATATTAAGGATAAAGAAGACACAAACTCATAGCAGCATTTTCTGAATAACAAAAATTGGAAAAAATTTAAATGTCCATCAAACAAAAAATTGCTATAAAATGTGCAGTGAAATGCTGTAGTCGATGTGAATGAAAATGAGTGTCGACACAGATAAACCTCAAGTTTACAAGTGGTAGCATAATTTGCCAGTGTTATACAATTTGTTTAAAGTTTAAGATCACCAAAGACAATACCCCATGTTGCTTGTATTGTGTACATGCATAATGAAGACCTGAAAACCAGCACAGAAAAAACATACACATGGTTATCATCCTTATTACCTCTTTAATAATGGCCACACGTAGAAGCATTCATTCTCCCAAACCCAGGAATATCTAGATCTAAAAGTAGTCAATCTCTCACCAGCACTTCAAGACCACCACACACATGCACACACCTTCTGTTAAATTTTTCTATTTCCTTGAGGAATGTGTATTTGGGGCATACATAGCATTCCTCCCCTGTAACTCTCCCTTGTTCTTGAGAATACTGGAACTTGTTTCATAAATTGTCTCTTCATTCCAAGATCTACTATTACCCTGAGTGACTCAAACATCCATATTCGGGGCTGGGGATGTGGCTCAAGCGGTAGGGTGCTCGCCTGGCATGCTTGCGGCCTGGGTTCAATCTTCAGCACCACATACAAACAAAGATGTTGTGTCTGCCGAAAACTAAAAAATAAATATTAAAATTCTCTCCCCACCCCTCTCTCTCTCTCTTTAAAAAAATCCATATTCAATCCAAGATCTAGCCTCCTGAACCCAATAAGCATCTCTTCTGCTCCTCTTCAGTTGCCCACTCCCCTGATGCCATCCTGGATTATATAATTCAAAGTCTTAAACCATTTTCTTGCCTACTATCTCTCAGTCACACTCACCTATAAAAAATATAATCCTGAATTAGTACTCATAGGCACCCTTAGAGTAAAGGCCAAACTTCTTAATTTGACTTGACCCTGCATGCCTCTGCAGACATATTTCTTGACAATCTCAGGTTCTATGCTTTCAGCCATATGTTTACCTTTTGTTTCCTTGAATGCAACCAACTATTGGTCCTTTTTACATGTTTGGGGTTTTTGTTGGGCTTTTTTGTTGATGTTGGTTTGTTTGCTCTACCTGTAACAATTTCGCATCAGCTATCCCTAGATCTTGCATGAAAAGTGGGCAATAAATATTTGATGAACTAATTTAATCAGTGAAAGAAGCATCAGTAGATGCATGCTAGACCAATTAGTTATTCTAAATATTATAAACAGCATATGCCAGGAGTCTGTCCTTCACATCTCCAAGTCAACATCACTCTGTGCCCTTTCACATGTACAGACTTGCTAGGTAATTCAAGGTGATCTAAAAAGGCTTCTGTCTCAGATAACCACTATTACCACTATTACATCTGTGCACCTTCTCAGAAAGTACTGATCTACTGAAAACTATCCCTTCGTGATGTCTATTTATTCAACTTAAACCAAGACCTCATGCTCTCTAATAATACTAACGAACTTTTGATGATCACTTTCATGTCTCATCTCCTCAGAACCTCTCAAGAACCTGTGATGTCAATATTATTACACTATTTTATGGTTGAGGAAAATGAGACTCTGATAGATTATTTGTTTAAGGAATGAATCCAGAACTCAGGGTCCAACTTTTCTTTTAATTTCAAAGTCCATATTCTTTTTATACTATTATCATTCTTGGTCAAAAATGAAAGAAAGGAGAGGAAGATGAGAAAAGGGAAAGGAAATGAGCTACAATCATTATTTTTATAAGTGAACAAATAATTAAAGAAAAAGAAATCAGGTTTTTAGAGAACGAGGGGAATAGGGGGCCAGAGGAAACTGCCTGAGCAAGAATGAATTTGAGAATTCATCCCCAGAAACCTAGAGCAAGGGTTTCAGCACCAAGGACAGTACCTGCATCCCAGCATCGTGGGGGTTAATGAGCTTTGTCTTCTGTATCTGTGTTGTGAGCATTTATAAAGGACTTGGTAGGTCTCCTTTGATCCCTAAAGATAATAGACAATAGAAAAGAGAAGGGGCCTGGCATTTCAACACTGCCAAGGGGGAGGAGGGTAGAGGCAGTTCCTTGGCCTAGATGTGAACAACACCAGCAACCTTTTCCAATCTGACTTTCATTTCCTCTCAGGAAAGGGAGAAACAAGGATACTACAGCAAGGGATCTTAATAGCTTATCTCTTCTGGGTGCTTACTATATACCACCACTATTATCAGTGCTTTATGTTAACCTATTTAATCCTTACAGTGATCCTGTGAAGTAGA